CTTGAGAAAGGGGAAAAAGTCACACCAGGATCAGGCGCGTTTCGTGCGAAAGTCTCCAACCTCGAGGATTTTACAAACAAGACAGCGCACCCAAATGGGAAAGCCCATCCTACGCCTGGCACATAGAAAACAAGCAATCGCGTCGGCGGCTGAGAAGCGCCAAGCAAGTTTTCCTTGCCTAACTTTGACACGCCAGAGGTCCCTTAAAGTGGGCGTTCGGGCAAGCAGGGGAAAAAGTGAAAGAGGCCGATAAAGCCCTCGATCCGACTTGCACGCCCACTCCCCAAGGAAAGTCCTTGATAAAAGTTCATGCAACTGAACTTCTGAATCAACCAGAACCGTGGCCGCCCCAAACCCACACAGGTCTCTCACTTAACGCGCCTCGTCAAATCCAGCCACCACTTTCTTCGCCTTCCACCGCGTGCCTTGACTGGAAAATGCAACGCCGCCAGACAACCCACCCAGCCACCCCCCTCCGGGAGATGAAGATCTGGGTGCCGCCGATTCGGCGAGGCGAGTTTCTCGAGCCCCCAAGTGATTGGCTGAGCTGGAAAAGTCCCGGGAACTTTGCAAAGATTTCTCCCGGGTCGCTGGCATAGGCGGCTTTAAAACTGCAGGCAGTGACGCCCGCTTCGCCCTTTGGGAACGGATTACCTATCCTCGCCGTTTTCCGCCCACAGCGGCGCTTCCCCTGCTCTGCGGCCAGCTCTGTTCCGCGAATAGCCCTGCTTGGATGCGCCGGACTTCGCCTTCCACGTTCCTTTCTCGGCGACGGCCTTTCTGCTTGGCGGTGGCGCCCCTTCTCTCGCTCTGCAATTCAGGCCCCTCTAACAGGGAAGGGACTAGGACCCCATCGGACAAGGAGGCTGGAGGAGAGTGTGAGTGTGTGTGTATGTGTGTGTGTTGGGGGGGTAAGCCAGTTTTCGCCTTAAAGCGTCTCTGAGCCGAAGCTGGAACCCAATGGCCGGGGAGGCAGTGGGGAAAGTCATAAGAGCAACCGAAGCTCCGCCTGTTGCAGCTGCCCAAACCTTCCCGCTAGGTGAGAAGGAGGAAACTTCTACTCGGGACCTCCCCTGGTCGTTTCATGCAAATTGCCACAACTGGATCAAAAGTGGGGAAGCACGCCTGCCTTAGGAGACGTCAGACGATCTAGCCCTACTAGAATGATACTGCATCTTACCCCGCGGGTTCGGAGAATTGGAGGGACAAGACTAGGCAGCTGGCCCATCACCTTTCAGGCAATCCCTAATCCCTAGGCAAAATTATATATACTGCTCAAAAGAAATAAAGGGAAACAAGCAGAAGACATCCGAGATCTGAATGAATGAAACAGCCTTATGAAATACTTTGTTCGTTACATACAGTAGTTTATACACTGCTCAAACAACTAAAGGGAACACAAAACTACTGTATGTAACGAACAAAGTATTTCATAAGGCTGTTTCATTCATTCAGATCTCGGATGTCTTCTGCTTGTGTTCCCTTTATTTCTTTTGAGCAGTGTATATATATTAAAATTCATCCCTACTTTGAGCGGGCAAGCCCACAGCAAACTGAGAGAATGGACTTGATGAACATTTATGTCACAATTGCCTCACATGTTATGCTAGCTAAACCATTTTGGATGGCTTGTTTGGTTTTGGTTTACCGTGTGTTATGTTAAACCTACCAGTTCTACAGGTGAGTTCAGGCCTCTTGGTTAGTTTTCCAAACACCCATCGACAGATTTTAAATATTAGCCTTCCCCAACTTCCTCTGGTCATAGAGGCTGGGGTGACTGGGAAGACAGGGTCATGATCAATGGTGAGTTGCCCCCTGTTCGCACCGGTTCTACAAACGCTGCGCTTGCACAGAAGAGAGCGAGCGAAATGAGCGCGTGCGGCCCCGTTGCGAACCAGTAGTAAATGTAAGTACAACCCACTCCTGGTCATGATCCACTCCTCTGGTGGATACCACATTGATGATGGCTTGCATTTGTCCTATGTAAGATTGGTGCTCCCAGATTCTTCAGCATTGCTTCAGAAGTAACGAATTCCTTGTCTGAAAATTCTAACTACCATATAGTTTTCTTGCAATAAACCACACAATGATTTGTCTATACCATTGATAAATCCAGAAGTGAATTGAAGTTAAAATATGAGAAAAATCAATTAATGGAATCGTGTAGAAGATGATCACATAGAAGTTTGTTTCTCGAATCTCAGTTTTATGAATGTTGTAATTCCTGTATTAAGAATATAAAAATTAAGTAGATTTAGATTTAGATTCTTTTTGCTATTTATTTGCCTTATCATTTGCAGCTGAAGCATATGGCCTGCTTTGAAAAGACTGAATGCAAAATTGCAGGCTTATCTTCATGTTTTACCGGTTGTGGCATGTAAACATGTAACTAACCATTTTTAACGATGTGTCCTCATCTCATCCAGAGTCTGCTTCTAGGGCAGCCTAGAGTCATCTATAATTATCGTGCTGTTAAAGTGATGTTTCTCCTCTTTTTTGATCACAAATCTTGCCATACAAACATTCTCCTGCACTTTTATAATGATAAGGACAAGAGGTGACAACAGCTCAGATCCTATTGGCTGCTTAAGTCTGCTGTGGGCATGCTTCTGTCACCGAATAATGTTCTCACTATTTTGGCTTTGGATAAGAAAGAAATCAGACAGCTGCATTATACAGTCTGTTTCTCTAGGGGGATGCGGGAGAGTATGGTGGGTATAAGAATATCATGGAAGAATAAATGCAGGTCTTTCTGGAGATCAGTATTCCCTCATCTAGTCCCTCCTCCAAAAAAGGGATTTGAACTGAATAAATTGGTAGTCAGAGAAGGGTGCATGATGAACCTAGAATGAGTTCACATACAAATGGAGGTCTCTGTTGACCTTACACCTTCTATTCAGGGGTGAAATCCAGCAGATTCTGACAGGTTCTGGAGAACCGGTAATGGAAATTTTGAGTAGTTCGGAGAACCCGCAAATACCACTTCTGGCTGGTCCCAAAGTGGTGTGGGAATGGAGATTTTGCAATATACTTCCCCTAGGAGTGGTGAGGGAATGGAGATTTTGCAGTATCCTTCCCCTGGAGTCGGGTGGGAATGGAGGTTTTGCAGTATCCTTCCCCTGCCACGCCCACAAAGCCACACCACACCCATAGAACCAGTATTAAAAAAAACTGAATTTCACCACTGCTTCTATTACTTAGGTTCACATCTCTGGGAATTAGGAAGACTAGAAAGGCAAGACTGGAGTTCACCTCCCACCCCCCCACCCCCATGTTCTCCCCATTCTCCAAGCTTAAGTTGGCAGGCCTTGTAGAATGTTTATGCAGGAGATGTCAGGCACCCTTAGCTTGTGCTGCCCACCACCATTTCTCTGTGAGGAAGCAGAAGGACACTGCTGCTTTCCAGTATATATATTTACATAATGTTGAGGCTACCAACTCCAATCAGTTCTGGATGGCTCATACTTTAAACGCAGGAACAATTTTTTAAAAATAAGGAACAAATCATAGACATCAAAAGAAAAAAAACTGAACATAACAGTAACAACAACAAAAAAACTACCTATAGCAGCACCCTACTGTAAACGTGAGAGAATAATCAAGATTTCAAAGGTTGTCAGACCATAATCAGTGTGACATTTCTTCTGAGTTTATCCATTTTTTCCCAAGATAGGAAATTAATAGTCCTTTAAAAAAAGTTTTTTTTTAAAAAAAAGAGAGAGAAGGGAAATGGTTTCTGCCTGACATGTAAACGTAATAAATCCCTGCCTCTTGCCTTTCTCCAGGTTGTTCTGCCCTCATAATTTCAATAGGAGCTAAATGTTTATGTGTAGGAATGGGAAATAGAGCTTTCTTCATCAGCCAACTTGAGAGAGAGGAAGTGAGGGGCAGATGAACAATTAAATTTGCTCACTTTAAGGAAAAGGAAGAAAAGTGGCACTGCCTTGTGTTCTTCCACCCATCTTGTAGTGGGCAGTGACACCTGAAATAATCATATACTAAAGTGAAGTGGCAATTCTCTGTTATTTGCAGAGATTTAGAACAAGGATTCAGCCCCAAGAACCAAATTGCCTGATAAGTTGGGCTAGAATAACAAAGAGTTTCAGGTTGTAAATAAACTTATCTCCCCAGGTTAATTAGTAAAAATATGTGAATTTCAGAATATCACTTCTAAAGGTTTCTTAGGAAACAGCAACCTCTGCTGATGGTCCAGACATGAACGAAAGCAAGAGGTAGTCAAGTGTTTAGACTACCTCTTGCTTTTGTTCATGTCTAACATGCATCCATTGAGTTATCCTTTATCAACCAACCTGAGGACTCCGAAATCAGTTAACATTACCAGGCGTAAACTAAAGCCATGTTTAGAGTATATAACAGAATAAGGCAGTACAATATCAGATAAGTTGTACAAAACAAAGTAATGGCAAAGGAAATAAGTATTAAGAAACACAGGCTATATTAAATTAGAAACAAGGTTTCTTTGTTCAAATTTCTGTCTTACACAGAAATTCCCCGAAAAATAAGCCAGTTAGAAATAACTATAAGAAGGGACAATGGAGTTCTTTTCCTAAATCAACTATTATTTGTACCTAATAAGGTAAGCAGGAAAGTGATGAATCTGATCACTTTTTGATAAAAGTACTTATTTGTCTGCCATTTTTTTCTTTAAAGAGAACATCTCTTTAGCAACAGATCAATAAAACTTCAAAGCACGCTCATTGTTGTAAAACAGGTTGTATTGCCTATAAATTGGGATTAGGAGGCGGAAGAAATCCTGTTCCAGTGATGGGAAAGCGAGACAGGTTTGATAAACAACCTCAATTAAATAGCTAAGCTCTGTTCGATTTTATCTCTGAAATGCATAGCGCCAATTTTAGCTCTTGACGGAGAAAAAGCAAGAAGATCAAAATGCTTTCAAAGACCGCTTGAATCATCAGCAGAGAGCCCCTAGTTTTAAAAGTATGCTAAATAATATATGAGTTGAATTAAAGATTGCTCACCCATCATTTGATATCGATTCCTAGCCTTTCGATACTGTGAATGACAAATCTTGCGTCTCGCAGAGATTAACTTCTTGCCATCAGCTTTGCACATGAATCTTGATTTCCAGGTCTTGAAGCACAACTGATTGTGTCTCGCCTTCCATTGAGGTAAAACCAGAAACCACCTACGCAACATTGAATGCTGCTGTGGGAAGCATCACACATAGATAGGGCAATGTGTATTAAAAAATGAAATGCAATGCTGTAGATACTCCTTAATTTAGAAAAAACAACTTTTAGAAACAACTTTTATCATTTTTTTTTAAATGGCAGTGTGAAAAGGACTTTAGTTACTACTATAATAGTAAAAATATGGCAATGCAATTGACTCAAAACTAATCAAGTTCTTTAGGGCATATTACAAGTAAATAGGTAAACAATGAGAAAAGAAAACAAAATACAATAAAGTACACTATGTATATGAGCAATATATAAATCACAATGTCTTAGTAATATAGCATACCAAGACAAAATCAAAAAAATACATTTGGGCGTCACATAATAGGTGGATATTTTGATATGAGTTCTAATCTTGCTTTAAGCATGAAAACTGGCTGGGTGACTTTGAGTCAGTCACTTTCTCTCAAACCACCCCACTTCACAGGCTTGTTGTGGGAAAACAGGAAAACAAAGGAATATTAGTATGCTTGAGTTACTTATAAAAGTAACAAAGATGGAATAAAAATCAAATAAATGAATATCTTTATTTTAAAAAGTATGGTGCCTACTGTAAGGAAGCTGGTACAGAACTGAGCTTGCGTGGTGGTTTTGAGCATGCATGCAGTTTCAGCCCTGGTTGGGGCTGAAACAAAGCTTCTAAAGCACAGCTGATTGTCGGAGGGAGCAGCAATGAGAAAAGCAGGCAAAGTGCAGAAGATCAGTTCACTCGCAAGCGCCTCTTTGGGGCTGAAAAACAACTTCAAAAGCACAGCTGATCATCAAAGGGAGTTCCAGTGACTAAAGCAGGCAAAGCGCGGAAGGAGTAAGAGAAGGCAGCAGCTGTTCCGCGTATCCATTTTGGCCACTGCGCGTCGCATTTTCAGCATCCAAACGCGTTGCGTTTTCGGGCGGCAATCGGAGATGTGCTTTGGAATATCCCTGCAGCCTTGAAGAGCTCTCAAACGGATTGTTTGGAGGCTGAAAACGCGATGCACAGAGTCCAAAAACACAAGCCATTGTCAGTGGCAATCTCTGCAGCAAGGAAGAGGACAAGTGGAGACCGAAGGGTGGGGGCCAGCAGGTGGGCAGGGCTACATTCAGAGTATAAGATGCATCCAAATTTTCAGCCTCTTTTAGGGGGGGAAAAGTGTATTTTATACTCTGAAAAATACAGTAATTTTCCCTTCTAATCGCCCTATACAATTTAATCTATAATCAAGTATAATCCAATGATAATATTGCTTATTATTGCATATATACTGTATATATATATACTTTTATTTTATTGATCATCCTTAATTATAAATTACTAACTTCTGCTTCTATTTACAAATCATTTATAAAATTGGTCCCAAGTTAAATAATTCTTTGTTTCCTCTTTACCCTTAATTTTCATCATTAATTTGTCCATTTCAGCACAGTCTAATATTTTCTTTACTAGCTGAATATCCGTGCTCCGCTACGAACCTATGTGATTGGGCTTGATAAATTGATACTTAGAGTTTGAAAATTAATGAGTAGTTACGATCGGCCTCTCCTCTCCCCTTCTCTCCCTCAGGCTTTCTAGCCCCTTCTCTCCATGAGGCTTGCCCCACAGAAGCCTGTCCTATGCTATCCCATTCTCTCCAGAGTTAATTTCAAGTTGGGAGACGGAATAGAACGTCTAACATCTAATTGGCATCAGAGCGTGTTATAATAATACATGAAATACTAATGTTCTGATGGTCATTTTGAAAAATCCTTTCTTAGTGAGCACCTAGAAGCCAAGAGGAACATACGTGGCAATTTCAAGTTTGTAGGCTTTACAGTTCTGGAGATTTCGTGATTAATGTGTGAGTGGTTTTCACTTATATATATATATAGAGAGAGAGAGAGATTGTATGCTTCTGTCCATGTTTTGGGGAGCTTGGCCTTTAATAGCACTTCATTATAGATATCCAGCATTGACAACCCTAGTGCTTCTTGTAAATTTTTATAGGGTTCTGCGGGAAGCCCGTCTGGTCCAGATGTTTTATCGTTTTTTTGCTTTTTAATTGCTTCTGTTAATTCCATTGTCATTATTCTTTCATTGAGCATTACTCTCACTGTGTCCGGTATTTTAGGAAGACCAGATTTTTCCAAATATTGTTTTATTGCATCTTCTGACATTTTTTCTTGACTGTAAAGTTTCCTTAAAAATTCCTGGATTATTTTCTTTTTATCTTCATTCTGGTGATGAAGATTCCCCTTCTCATCTATCAGTTTGTATATCACTTTCTTCTCTTTCTCTTTTTCTCAACTTGCATGCTAGCCATCTACTTGGCTTATTTGCATTTTCAAAAAAGTTTTGTTTTGCCATTTTAATTTTTTGTGCCATTTCATCTTGTAGGTTTAGTTTATGTTTTATTAGTTCAATTTTCTCTTTTCTCTTAATTTTGTGCGGATCATTCTGCAATTCTGTTTCTACTTTTTTAAGTTCTTCTTGTAGTGTATTTTGCTGTTGTTTCTTTTTCTTACTTTTTCTTGCTATATATGTTATCACTAATCCTCACATGTATGCTTTTTCTGTGTCCCAAACAATTTGCAGTGATGTTTTTTTTTCTATTCTATTTTCTTTAAAGAAAAGTTCCATTTCTTTTTCTATCATTTGTGTGAACTCCTTATCTTTTAGAATAGTTTGATTCAGTGTCCATCTTGGTTTCTTCCTTTGTCTCTTCCATATAATTTTTAACAGGGTTGTGGTCTGCCCATATATTCACTTCTATATCTATCTCCTGGATGTCTCTCATTTCTGACGACATCCACATCATATCTATTCTTGACCATAATTGATGTCTATTTGAATAGCATGTAAATTGGTTTGTCTTTGGGTTTAGCTCTCTCCATATATCCTGTAAGTCTATTTCTTGTGTCATTTCAAAAAAGGATTTGGGGAGTGTCCTCCTTATTTTTTTACTTTTTTTTACTGCTTCTGTAATCTATTTTGGTGTCCGCAATTGCATTACATTCCCCTATCATACATATGTTTTCATAGTCCATTTCGGTTATCTTTTTGTGGAGTCTTTTATAAAATTCTTTCTGCTTATTGTTTGGAGCGTACAGTATATTGCAATCAAAATAATCTGTTTATGGTTTATTACCACCTCAACCTTTAATATTCTCCCTTCTTTGTCTGCATATACTTGTTTGGCTTTTAATGGTTCTCTGACCTATAGTGCCACCCCTCTTTTCTTTTGATATGCTAATGCCGAGTATAATTTCCCAATTTTGGGGTATTCCAATAAGTTGCCAAGTTGTTTTTTTAATATGCACTTCTTGAAGACAATTTAGGTCCAATTTTAATCTTTGTAGTTTTGTGAAGGTTTTTTTTTTCTCATGAGAGAAGTCAGTCCATTTTTGTTAATTGATAACATCTTTATTTTTTCTTCCATCTTTTCATTTATATATAGGTCTTGTCCTTCTAGTTGTTCTTATCTCTCTCTGTCCTTTTATTCTTGCACCTTCTCATTCTGCTCGCTCATTTTTCTCCTTCTCACTTTCTTCTTGGTCTCGAGCTTTTTCTTCTATTTGTGTTTCATCTTGACTTTTACTTTCTCTGCTTTCCTGTTCTTCATATGCGGTAAAGTGATGTTCAAAGAATTCATGCACTTTATCTAGTGTATGCACCCTAAATTTTTTGTCTTGCCAGGTAACCAGAATTCCTTCTGGTATCAACCATCTAAGAGTCACGTATTTAATCAGTTGTGCTGTCAAAAATTGATATTGTCTCCTCTGCTCTCTGTCTCTCCTAGGTATCTTTTTAAAAGTCATTATTTCTCTCTTATACTTCATGGAGTCATCTCTAGTTCTTTTATATATTTCATCTCTCAACATCTTTTTGGTAAATCTCACATGCACCTCTTTTGGTAGATTATGTCTTCTTGCATAGTTCATATGGATTCCAAATATTTCATCTATTTCCCTTTGTACATTTGTTTATTTTTCTGTAGTGCTCCAGCCAGCAGTCTGTCATCAAGTCTGCCAGGTCTTCCTCTTTCTCTTCCACAATATTCTGGAATCTCAGGAAGTAGGCTGCCTTTTCCATCTCCAGAAAGATTACTGTCTCTTCTAATTCTTTGTTAGCATGTGATAGCTTCTGATCTACTTCCTCCATTTTTTTTTTTCTGTTTGCTCAGCCTTTATTTCTATTTTCTGTATCCTCTGTTCATTCTTCGCCATCATTTGCTGGAAATTTCCTATCTTTTCATCCATTTTCCGTATCTCCCCCTTTATCTCCCTCATTTCATTCTTAATCTCGTCGTAGTTTTTTGACATAGCTTCCTGACTTTTGATCATGGCTTTTCATTTCATTCTTAATTTCGTCATAGTTTTTTGACATAACTTCCTGACTTTTGATCATGGCTTCTTGGATTACTACAGCATACTTTTTGTATACTCTGAAAGGAATTTGATTTCTCCAGACCTAGCATGCTTTCTATCAATCTTTGATTGGATGCGCTGGATGCTGCTGATGACGTTGCTGATGATGGTGCAGACGAGGTTTTCTTTCCTATCATATACATATTAGGTATACTTGTCATCTCTACCACTCAGAAAAGAGCTGATCAGACAGGTAAAGACAAGGAATTATATCTACACAGAGAAAGATTATTTCCCAAACCCGCAAGTACACCTCCTTCAATTCTCTGTATAGTATCTATAAAAATATACTCACAATCTAAAATTTCCAATCACCACCATTTAACAAAAATAAATCTTTGTGATCTACAGAATTAATAGTCCTATCAAGTCCGTTGAATACTCGCAATTCTTTTAAGGGTAGATGCTTCCTCTATCCTTCTTCCTCTGACAGTTTAAATTTATAATCCACGTAGTTCTGTCCACACTCCTGTTGTTATAATCCTCAGTCTCTGGCAGGGATCTGATATGCCTACTTCTTTGTGCTAGCCAAAAACGAAACAATTTCATTTCAGATTGGGATGCTTCTGATTGCCTCCCTGCAAGATGTTAATTATATTCTAGCTGTATGGAGCACTTTTCTTCCCAAGTCAGAATGGCCCCTTCTCTTATTTTTTAGAAAAGAAGTGAAAGGCTCCACTTCTTTTAGGGGTCCGCTAACACCATTCTATTAGGCTTTTGGGATATACTAGTAGTCCTCAATTTATGACTGTAGTTGACCCCTTGAGGTGATAAACTGGATCATCATGCAACCGAGACTGATTTTATGACCTTTTTTGTGGTTGTTAAGGAATACCAAGGTCATTAAGTGAAGTCATTGTTCTCTCTGGCATATTTTTCTCCAGAAACCAGAAGTAAATGGCAATTTCTGAAGAAATATAAATCGTGGTCATGTGCTACAAAAGGCCATAAATGTGATCTGGATACCAAATGTCCAAAATGCAGTCATATTACTTCAAGGGGAAGATAAATGCTAGAATTTCAAATCTGGATGGTAAGTCCCTTTTGGGGGGCCTGTTGTATCTTTAAATGATTGCCAACTGACTGGTCTTAAGTTGAGGACTACCTAGTTGTTAAAGTGATAACTGCTGTTTTACTTGGTGCTGTGTTATTTATGATTCTATGCCAGAACTGTATTTTTTTATGTAGCATTTACTAGAGCAGTATGTATCTTCTCTGAAATGAAAAATGAAAAACCTTTTAAATCTGGGACAATATGTCTATTCTTATAGTATTTTTATTTGTATATAATATGCTATTGGTAAACTTTGAGTTTGACTTTATTTCTAGTTGAGAGAATTAATTGAACACTTTTAGAATTTCATAAGAATAAAAATTAGGAACTGGGACCTACTTTTAGCCTTAGATGCATCAGAAGAGAAGAAATTCTGGACCTATTAGCCAAAGAAAAAGAAAAAGAAAAAGAAAGAAAGAAAGAAAAGAATAGAAAAAGAAACATCATGACATTAATTATAGTGTGTTAACATTAAAACATTAAAACTGATCTCTACCTGCCTGCTAATTTATGCTTATCTCTCTTTTTTTCCGTCCCTCTTTTCCTATTCCATATGCTGTTTTTTTTACCACTACAAGCAAATAGCAATTATTGTGCAATTGTTAGAGAGCTGCAGGCATTCTGTTTCACTGTCCAAGTGTGATCTTCATAAACAAGAAAAAAGCAAACTGATCCATGCAACAATACTGAATAGTTGTCTTCAATTTTATATCCTTGATTATATGTTTTCATGATACTTGGAGCAAATCCTTATTTGCAGTAAGTTTTAGTTTGTTTATTATTTAGCAAATTAATATAGCCACCATCTCATAAAAAGTGTTTCTGGCTGGCCTACAACAGTTAAATTAAAAAAAATGTTTTAAAACAGGATTGTTAAAAATACAAACTACCAGGCACAGGAGAGATTATATATTAACTATAATGAAGCCATTTTAAAATGCCACTTGTCCAGATGCCAAAATGTTGCTTATCAATATTTCCATAAGTTTACTGTCTGGGTTTACAGAACTTCCTGTGCTTGCTAAATAAACTAAACTTTAGTTTATTTAGTGAAGGATTACTATTTTAAAAAAAAACATGTTAAACCAATATATTGGTTTAACCATCTGCTTTTTATGTACACTGAGAGCATATGCACCAAAGACAAATTCCTTGTGTGTCCAATCACACTTGGCCAATAAAGAATTCTATTCTATTCTTAATTTACTGTACTTAACAATAGGACCCAGCTTGCAACTTTCCATTCCATGTTCTTTTAAATGTCTCTTCCACTTGCTGCCTGTCTCCTGCTTTGAACTTTTCTCCTGCCTCAACACCATACTGCCTTGGCGGAAGGACATCACTGACAGACTACACAGATGAGGGGAGGGGGGAAGGGTGAGCACAGGCATGGGTGACGGTAAAGGGGTTAGGTTCCACAAATAGGGCTATCCATTCACTGGGGCTGGGCATAGAGGGTTCGTGTGGGAATCGAGAACAGCGGACATCACGGAGCTGATGAGAACCAGTGACGTCACAATCCTCCGACCAGACCAATCCTGGCGGTGGGAGATACAAACTAAATGCCCTTCAGCTGGACATGATTACGGAGACACACCCAACCATTACGACAGATAAAATAAGTAAAAAGGTGCTGAGTAGCGGACGCTCTCAGTGCCGACTTTAGATGCATTTGCAATCTGGCGTCAAGTAGAAGCTGTTATGTAGCAAGAGAATAAACCAGGTTTGATTCACTGAGCTCAGGCTGTGTGTATTCCCTGTGATTCTGCACCGGCAGCCTAGCGAAGCCGAGAGCTGGGTTTATGTGACATTATAATAGTAGTTTTAACCATTTAGTCATGTCAACTCTTGGCAATTTCATAGGCAAGTGGTCTCCTTGCTAGCCTGTCAATTATGCTTCTTTCAGTTTTTGGATGTTCATCTTTGTTTCAGCTTTGATGTTATCAAGCCAACATGTTCTTTACTTGCCCTTTCTTCTTGGTCCACTTACCATTTGTAGTATCATTGACTTCTCCAATGAATTTGCACGCATGACATGGCCAGAGTAAATCAGATCTAGTCTTGTGATTTTGGCTTCTAGTGATGTTTCTAGTTTTATACGATTCAGCAGCTCTCTGTGGTTAATCTGGCTGTCCATGGTATATGTGATATTATCTTTGTTGATAGTTGCGAAGTCGTGTCTGACCCATCACGACCCTATGGACAACGTTCCTCTAGGCCTTCCTGTCCTCTACCATCCTCTGGAGTCCATTTAAGCTTACACCTACTGCTTCAGTGACTCCATCCAGCCACCTTGTTCTCTGTCGTCCCCTGCTTCCCTCAATCTTTCCTAGCATTAGGTTCTTCTCTAGTGAGTCCTTCCTTCTCATTAGGTGGTCAAAGTATTTGAGTTTCATCTTCGGGATCTGGCCTTCTAAAGAACAGTCAGGGCTACTAAGTCAGGGCTACATAGTATCCTATGTTTGACTTTGGATGAGAATTTTCTGTGAATTCAGCCACTTTGGTTTGTAAACCATGGTTTATCATTTAGTGTGGTGATGAATGCTAATTCAATAAACCATTGTTAAATTAAAGTCTGACTTAGTGCATTATGTGAATTGGCATTATGTTCCATCTGTTATTCATTGGTTTTGGACTTTGAGGCTTCAGTTGCCTAATACAACCATGCCCTCACAATTTCCATTTAACATCTATTCTTCATCAGTTTAAATCAGGGCAAATCACCTTTCACAGCCTTGCTTATACATAAGGTGACATTTTTATTACGAATTTTGAACTCATACTTTTGAATTTATATTCTGAGTTATTAGTAAATTGTGACATGATCTAGCTTTGCATTCTATATAAATACATACAGTTTTGCTGAGCTTCTGAGGAGGAGATTAAAAACTTGTGTATCTTCTCTCCAAATTTCAAATTAATACCCAGCAAAATAAAACAATAATTAACAAAAACTCTTCCAATTAAAAGGTCTTCTTTGTCTTCATGATTGTCTTATGAGATGGTTAAATAGGTAGATGCAGACTGGAGTCAAATAGTGAAATATTTTCCTTCACCATGCTTTCAGAATAAGTCACAAATGGTTGTGAATAGTGCTAAACCATAAACATGCATTGTGAACTATAATCATTGGAATCACAATATATGCTAAGCCATGCTAAATAAACAATAATGTAATCTGTAAATTCAACAGTTTAATTTCAGACCAGATTCTTTTCAAATGTAGTCTGACACTTTGGCATATACACAGCACTGGCCCTAAGCCTGTAAACAAAAGTTTTAAAAAGACAAGAGAAGCCCAACACAATTCAGCAACAACAACAACAACAGATGACCGTGATTATAAACTCAATCCTAAAAAGGAGGAAGGTTAAACTAAAAACTCCAAGTCGTATAACTTTTCCTCATAGAGATTAATAGTCACATTTGACAATCAGCCAGGGAAATCCACTGATACGTGACTTATTTCACATTTTCCACTAAAGTTAAACCATAATGGGATATGTGAATTCAGCCATATAATGTTATTGGCCCAAGGCATGAAGGTATTATCCAAATGTGTTTTTAAATGAAAGTTTTGCCACAGTCATGAGATTTCACAATAGAGAGCAGGAAAAGTACATCTAAGAAAATCATGTGAGTTCTACTTTACCTCAAGTACTGTGTGTGCAAACTTTTTCATGGTAGCATTTAAATATTTGTTTACTTCATTATTTAACCAGAGATTCCACAATAAAGTATTCGACGAATTATTTTAAAAAGTTAATGTTTAATTGAAAGAATCTGAGCCAAACCACCAACTTCTTCTTCTTGTGCCATATCTGTCATCGGATTTTGGCGATCATGTTGGCGATCCTATTTTTATCAACAGCCGCACGAAAAAGTGGTGCTGAGTTTTGTCCAAACCAGTTCCTTAGATTTTGAAACAACAATATTTGTATATTATATGCTAACAGTTTGTAGTAGCACAAAGTAAAGAAAGTTCTCTCATTGACCAAATGTTTGCTGTGATAATATACATACTTTTTATATTCTTTGTTAGCTGAATAACAACTTAATAAGTCAATATCAAGTTCTGTGTATTCAAAGTATACTAAATAGCTCTGTAAAGTAAGTAAAAGAGGAATACAGTACCTATTACGGAATAATGTATTTTTGCCGAAAACCATAATGCTTGTGCCAAAAGGTCCTGTCAGGTTTTTGCTTGAATGTTAACTCATTATTTGAATTTATTCCTGAACCAAGTAACATGCTAAATGATCAGCATGACTTAATGTATATTAAACTTGATTATTATTCTGGTAAAATACTTCTTTTAGAGCAGGGGTCCCCAACCCCAGATCTGTGGACTGGGAGCTGTCCATGGACTGTTGGGAACTGGGCCATGCAAGCAGTGGGTGAGCGTGCAAAACTCCATTCACACAAGCAGTGGGTGAACGAATACAACCATCCCCTCCCTGCCGCTGTTCCATGGACCTGGAAGGGTTGGGACTGCTGTTCCAGAGAAGTAGTAAGGAATGGATAGTTGCAATCTTGAGGGTGGGGGATGGGGAGGGGATCAGTTTTACTAGGTCTGCTATTATCTGGGTTATAAAAATCCTAATGGAGCATCTAAGAAAATCATGTGAGTAGCATGATTTGCTGCCATCTAGTGGTTGTCAGAATATTTGCAACCCAAATATGATGGCCTAAGCTCACATGATGATAAAACCAAGTAACTTAGATCTTGGGAGCCGTAGCTACCAGTAATTCACTGATTTCTATGCATTTTTAAGTAACATTTTTATTCTTCTGAAGCCTTAAGCCTTTAATGTCTGATAGTTTACATAAGCAACAGGATCTTAAAAAATAATTGAAAAAGTAATATCACATTTACATTATAATCTTATGTGCATTTATATATTTAGTCTCCGGAGAGGGACGGCATATAAATTTAATAAATATATAAATAAATAAATTTTGCAATAAACTGTTAACAACTATGAAGCTGATTTACAGCTAAATCCGTATGCAGTTAATACTGTAAGACTTAGTATGTGCCTTTTATTCTTTTTCAAATAAAGATTAAAGAACAGCAAATTCCATATTAAAGTATTAAGAATAATTTGTAGAACTAAAACTCTAGGCAAAAAAGAATGATTTCACCTGGCCTGAAAAAGTATCCAACTTGGTGCCTAGATAGAATATATCAACCTTTGGTATCTATCTCAAAGGCTTTTCTTTAGTTATCCTCCATCTCATCTTGAGACTGGATAGGGAAGAGAATCTAGACCAGGGGTGTCAAACTCACATCATCCTGGCGGCGTCACATGACATATCGGGACTTTTTCCCCCCTTCACTAAACTGGGTGTGGGCGTGGCCAGCGCGTGATGCATCCA